ATGGAGCACTGGGTGTTATACGCAAACAATGAATCGTGGAACACTGCATCAAAAACTAATGATGTATTGTACGGTGACTAACACAACATGATAAAATAAAATTATAGTAAAAAATAAAATTAATTAAAAAATTTTTTAAAAATGTTCATGTTTCTCAGATGGGGTGACTTGCTGTCATATGTTTATAAATCTCCTGCAAAGTGAACTGAGAATTCAAAGCATAGCCAGGAATAAGGTGACAATATTATCACTCGTGTCCCTCGCTGCCCAGCAGCCACCTGCATGCACAGTGGCCTATGGGTGGGCGTTGGTCAGATGGGCTTTCTGGCTAATTTAGTACATCCTGATGCTGTCATAACACGTTCCCAATATCATGGATCTGTGGATTCCAGAGCCTCAGCTGGTCATGGTCATGGATCGAAGCTGGAGTGAGGCAGACCATTGGTGGAGTCCACATAACTAGGTGGCCACTCAGTGGCTCAGAAAGGGCTGGTCCACGCAAACTCTGCTGCACCAACCCCTCCTTGATCTGTATAAATTATGACCATGCCACTCGCTGGTGGTAAACCCATTTTTTGGCTGATCCTTTCTTTTCAGTCACGCTTCTTTTCAAGCACACTTCTTTTCAAGCATGCTTCTTCTGTTTTTCTTAATTGTCCCCTTTCTGTTAGTATTGAGGAGTGTGCCAATTTTGGGGATTTTAAAAAGGGTTATGTACCTCAGAAGGCTGTTCTGAGGAGGGAGAAATACTTATCAGAATGGTTTGTCATGAGGGCAAGTCCTAGAAACCTGCTGGATGCTCGTGGGTGATGGTATTAAGGTCATAGTTGGAAGCTGTCGCCTCATTCAGTCCTTCTCTGCTGTCACTGTTTAAGGAGGAAGATGAAGGCTCGTGCCCCCCCTCCTCCTGGAAGACCGACCACGCCCAATGTGCACAGCAGACAGAAGCTTCCCCGGGATGTGTCCCCTGGCCCTCCACAGAACCTGCTGCACATGAAGGAGAACTTGAGGAACAGCATGGTGGCGGTCACCGTGGTTCTGCCCAGTGGGCTGGAGAAGAAGAGCGTGGTCAATGGCAGGTAAGGGTCCGGGCACCTCGGGGAGGGGTCACTGCCACCCATTCTCGGGTCCAAGGAGAACTGAAAAGTGGATCGTGCTGGGTTGCGCTTGCTCCCTTGTCAGGTCAGACATGGGGTCTCGGGGGTACAGAGCTGGGTCTAGGTGACAATCCAAAGTGGCTCACCTGGATGACCATTGGCTAAGTGGCCCCTCCCCAGCTCGCCATCATCCTGAGGGAGCAGGGACTGCTGAGCTCAGTCCTGGTAGAGGGTGAGCTCGGAGGAAGGACGGGGGTCACAGGCCCGTGTGCATCTCCAAGTAGGGGGCCAGCTCCAGAGCCCTCGCCAGCATCCTTGGCACCAAAGCGATGCAGCGGGGCAGCCTCCCGAGTTGACCCTTCCAGTGTCCACTGACAGGATAGCCCACAGACCTGTAGACACAGTCAGCAATCAGTTTCCCAAATGCAGCTTCTGGTGCATGTTTACACTGACAGCTAAACCCCGACCCAACCAGTTTCCAGCCCCGAGATGCCCACCAGCATCCTTTCTCAGATCTGCACTGCCCGGGAATGTGCCTAAGGTTAGGGTCATGTGCCCCTTCCTCTGCCCACGTCAGCCTCACCGGAAACACTGGCAAACCCTCCTGCAATCATAGTATTGAGAATTTTATTACCAATAGAATTTCTGATTTTTTTTTCAAGATACACCATCACGTTGTTTGATCGATTTTGTGCCACGACTGTTGTTCCTGATAACTTGATCTATGGGAACATATTTTCACAGAGTCACAGGAAACAGAACATTAAATCTCAGCACTTAAACAGTTTTTATGATAGAGTATGATGAAGTGACCAACTATGGAAACGTTCCAGCATAAAAATATGTCTAATTCTGAGGCAGGAGTGAATAGAAGTCGTATTTCTCACAAAATGAGAATAAAAGATGATAGGACATATTTCACTCGTAAAAAGCAGTTTGCTCCAATATTTTTTAAAATGGGTAATGGTGGAAATCACATCACCATGGGTGTTTTTATTCTGGTGGTTGCACTGAAGAGAGTGATGGAACTCTTTTGTTTTAAAATATCAGGATTTGCGCAGGAAACAAACTGAGTGTTGTTGGAGTGGGGGGTGGGGTGGGAGGGATGGGGTGACTGGGTGATAGACACTGGGGAGGGTATGTGTTCTGGTAAGCGCTGTGAATTGTGCAAGACTGTTGAATCTCAGATCTGTATCTCTGAAACAAATAATGCAATACATGTTAAGAAAAAAAAAAAGAAGAAGAAGAAGGTAGTGGGAGGGGAAGAATGAAGCGGGGGAAATCGGAGGGGTGGACGAACCATGAGAGACGATGGACTCTGAAAAACAGGCTGGGGGTTCTAGAGGGGAGGGGGGTGGGAGGATGGGTTGGCCTGGTGGTGGGTATTGAGGAGGGCACATTCTGCATGGAGCACTGGGTGTTATGCACAAACAATGAATCATGGAACACTTCATCTAAAACTAATGATGTAATGTATGGGGATTAACATAAGAATAAAAAAAAAAAAAAGAGAAAAAAAAAAAAAATAAATAAATAAAATATCAGGATTTGGATTCTCCCTGAAATTCTATGCTTTGCATCTGTTTAAACTCTATCATGAAAATTCTAGGTGGCCACTTAATGCACAAAGAGAGCACACATCTTACAGATCATTCCACGGGGTACGCGAACAAGGGGAAGAAGCTTGCTGCAGGCCTCGCTGCACAGCTGGGGGCGGAGCTGATGAGTTGTGGGGTACGGCATCTCCTCCCACGCCAGATGATGCCAACCCGTTTCCCAGGGTGGAGCCACCCACCCACCCAGTGTGGGGCTTGCCCCTTGGGGGGGCCTCCTGTAGCTGGGGTCCCAGCCGCAGGGCTCCCGTGGAAGCAGTTGAACTTGGTCTACCCTGGATCCACGAGGGAGGCACCCCAGGCTGCAGCCTCGCGGCTCCCAGAAGCCCGTGGCTCTGTGGCGGTTGCTGTAGGCAGAGCTTCCAGGGGTCGTGATGTGCAAGTGACGAGAGTCTCTGGTCTCTTTGTTTTACGGAGTAGCCCTTGTTCTAAGCACGTTTTTTCCAACAAACTTTGTCTGGAGAAGCATGCCATGTTACTACAGGTTTACAAACTACTTTAATACGTGTGTGAAGTTTGATCAGTGAATGTATTATGGTTTAGTCACCATTCCTGTATTTTCAATCCAGTTTTTAAAAATATTTATTTGAGAGAGAGTGCATGCACACAAGCAGGGGGAGAGACAGAGGCAGAGGGAGAAGCAGGCTTTCCGCTGAGCAGGGAGCCCGACGTGGGACTCGATCCCGGGACCCCGGGACCATGACCTGAGCCGAAGGCAGACGCTTCACCGACTGAGCCACCCAGGTGCTCCCTACCCAATTTAGTTATACTTAAAAATACTATTTTATTGAGGTCTGATTAACAGTAAAAACAGTACATGTTAACTGTGCCCTACTCGACAAGTCTAGCTCAGTGCACTCCCAAGAGACTACTGCCACTCTCAAGCTAGTTACATAGTTTGTAGAAAAATGGCCTGGTGGGTCCTGTCTTAACACGCTGATACCTGGGTCCGGTTCTCCAAATGCATGCAGAGAGACAGAATACCTGCCTGACAAGTGCAGGTTTGAAAACCATTTCCAAACTGAACCCTTTCTTAAATTATATCTTTTTAAAATTTGTTTCTTTACAGAGTAGAAGCTACCACTTTGTAGCATGGCAGTGTAACAATGAGAAAACATGCAGCCTTAAAGATCAAGCATTAAAAAACTTCCCTCTTCTCCAGCAGTAAATTATAATCCCTCTCCCGAGCTTCCTGCAGGATTAAGTGAGTCAGGGCAGTAGCCTGTGCGCTTGCTTAACTGGGACCTTGGCATCTTGGCTGGTGCTGATTCAGCAGCTGCTTGCCTGGGGATTTGGTTTTATGTGTCATGCTCTTTAATAATACCAGAGCGGGCTGAAGTCCAGTTCCCGACCCTTGCTTAAAATAGATCTACTAATTGTTAATAAATGTGGTTTCTCTCTTCTGTTTTATTAGAGAACATGCCCAGCTTTTAATGGGACGAGCAAGCAGTTGATAATTTATAATCAGCCCCTTAACCATGCTTTTTCCTGATATGAAAGATTCTCCGAGAGGAGACATTAGCAATTGCAGTCTGATGATTGCATTCTGCATATGACTGATTGTTTTTTTTCTTTTTTAAAGCTTCCTTTCGATTTGGAAACTTAAATAAAAGCCCCAGTCTGTTCTTACAGAGATTAGGACATGAGAATCCGTGTTCTGGGCCATTCTTTTTTTTTTTTTTTTTTAAAGATTTATGTATTTACCTTAGAGGGAGCAGGGGGAGGGGCAGAGGGGGAGGGAGAGAGAGAATCTCAGACTCCCCACTGAGCACGGAGCCCAGTGCAGAGCTCGATCTCAGGATCCTGAGATCACGACCTGAGCCAAAATCAAGAGTCCGATTGAGCCACCCAAGGCACCCCCATATTCTGGGCCATTCGCAAGGGAAATGCTCTGGCATATGATTAGGAATGATGTTGCCAGCACTGCATAGGGATGGTGGGAGGAGGCCACCAATTCCATCACATTAATTGGGGCACACTTAAAGAGAAGATCTTTGAAAAGACAATGCCCTTAGGGGTGCCTGGGGGGCTCAGTCGTTAAGCATCTGCCTTCGGCTCAGGTCATGATCCCGGGGTCCTGGGATCGAGCCCCATATCGGGCTCCCTGCTCTGCAGGGAGTCTGCTTCTCCCTCTACCTCTGTTTCTCCCCCCACTTGTGCTCTCGCTCTCTCTCGAATGAATAAATAAAAAATCTTAAAAAAAAGAGAGAGAGACAATGCCCTTAGGCAAAAGAGAGCTTCATAAACCGTGTCAATCTCTAGAGTGTTGGGGCTGTTTTGATGCATAGTCAGTTCCATGTTAGTACACATACCCAAGGGGCCCGGGGCAGGAAAAGGCAAACATTCCCTTTGTGGAATACAGGAAATCTCCCTCGGTGTTCATTCCTGTGATTCTTCAAGACAGACACACTTACGACTGTGCAGGATTTGTTTAGGTCCCGATGCTTATAAAATAGCCCAGGCTCTCATAACATGGGTATTGGGTCTGCACGTTCCTTCTGGAGAGAGCTCACCTGCTCGAGGATGGAGTGGAGGGAGGCTGCGAGTTCTCCTCAGCTCTGGGGGTGTCCTTCATCCGCCCTCCCCCTCCAGGTGTTGGTGAAGCCTCTTGCTCATCGTGGCTCCCAGAGCTGAACGGAGCCTGCTCTTCTCTGGCACTCAGCGAGTTAAGGAGTTGATGTTAGAAAAGGCATTTTTGGTGCTGGGGAGTCAGCCAGGAGAAGACAGTTCTCTAAATAACTGGCTGACAGGTTGCTTTGGTTTAATTTGATTTACATTTTTGTTTGAAGATTATCTTTTTTTAGAAGACTTCATTTTTTTTAGAGCAGTGTCAGTGTCCTAGCAAAAATGAGAGGAAAGTACAGAGATTTCCCACATACCTTCCCCCCTCACCCACGATCTCCCCATTATCAACATCCCCGGCAGAGAGGGGTGCCCGTTACAATCAGTGAACCTGCACAGACGTATCGTCATCACCTGGAGCCCATTGGTGACATCAGGCTCCACTGTTCGTGTTGTATGTGCTGTGGGTTTGGACATACATACAATGATGTGTGTCCGCCACGGGAGTACCTCACAGAGGAGTTTCACTGCCCTGAAATCCTCTCAGAAAAAAATGCCTGGGACATGCAGCCCGCTCTGGTCACTGTGGCTAGAAGTGGATCTCATTGAACCGTATTTCCCATCAGCCTTGGTAACGTGTTTGATCATCCAGGTCCTAGCTCACTGCTTTTAGTGACCACCTCCCTGAAATGCTTCTGCCCTATGAAGGCTTCTTCCCCTGCTTGTTTGGGTGAAACCTAAGAGCAGCTGAAAGATGAGAGTGACAGAATGTCTGTCACGTGCAGACTATGATCATCAGACTCCAGG